TTAGGTAGTTGGGATTCTGCCATTGAAAAAAGAAAAAAGGTAGTTGGGATTCTGTTTAGATTGAGAGAGAAGCCGATAGTTTCTCTCGTGATTTTTAGTTAATAATATATGTAAGAAATGAATGAGAAAACTTAAGAAAATAAAAAGTTAACATCTAGAAAAGAAAAAAGTCATATTTTGGGCTTCAAAACACGTGATGCACGGTGGTATTTTTAGATTATTAAAAAAAAAATCTAATCTATTGATATTCTTAAGTGAAAGAATTTGGCATTCAATAAATTAAAAAATATATATATATATTTAGTTTAAATATTTAGTCTTTGGATTGGTTTACATTGAATGCTCATCTTATATTTAACCTCATATGTTAAATTTTTATATGCTACTAGGTAACCTCATTTTTATCAAACCTGATATTATTAACTTGCTTGACAAGTTCTAAAGATTATATCAAGCCTGCATGTACATTTACCATACCCTGGAATAACATTCTGACCAAATTGTCGAGTGAGCTGAAGAGAGTATGAGAGAAAAAAAGAGAGAGAGAGGCAGGGATGCAGGTACTGGACAGCAACTCTGGGTAAGACAGAAAGCACTGAACAGAGAGTATGACCGACCAAGAGGTAGTATGCGACAGTGGGGAACGAAGGACTCAAAGAAGGATGGACAGAGCAGACGGCAGCAGAGGAATGTAGAGTGGGGATAAGACAAGGGACTGTATAAGCAGGCTATGGCTTTCTTCTTTACCAACTTTCCCGACGACTGGAGCTATTCAGAAATGTGGAGGACTTTTGGGAAATTTGGTAGAGTGTATGCCATCTTCAGCCCACAAAGAAGGAACAGAAATGGGATGAGATTTGGGTTTGTTAGGTTCCTGGATGTACAGAATCCGCGGGCCATGGAGAACCAACTTGATAAGATCCGCATAGGAGGCCACAAAATATGGGTTAATTTAGCTAAATACCCGGTGGAGGAGACTGAGCCTAAGAAGATCAGTAGATTTTTGAACTCAAGCTCAGTTGTTCAAGGAAAAACTTATGCAGATGTGGTTAGAGGACAGAAGGGAAAGAACCCGTGGAGATTTGAGGAACAACCAGTTGAGGAAAGGCCAGTGTATGTGCACAAAGAAGGAAGTAGCAGAGGGACAAATAGAACTCACCAACAGCCAACCTGTGAGTCTGAAGAAGGTAGAAACAAAGGGACAAACAGATCATTTCAACAGAGACAAACTTGGAGAAAGAAAAACAGAGGCGAGGAGTGGTCAGGAATTGAGTTCAAGGTCAAGGAAGAAGACTATGAGTGGCTCCGCGGTTGCTATGTCGGTACAGCACGCTCCTTAGAAAGTATACCCAATCTGCAAGAAAAGCTCTACATGGAAGGTTATTTTTCATGTCGGCTCCGTCCTATGGGAGGGAAGCTGGTATTAATGGACTGTGAGGAGAAGGAGGAGCTAAGGGACTTAGTACAGGGGGCGGCAGACTGGCTAGGCCAATGGTTCATAGATATTCAACCCTGGACACCTACAGCAGTGGCAAAGGAAAGATTTGTATGGGTGAGATGCCAAGGTGCCCCTCTTCATGCTTGGGGGCTGGAATTTTTTGAAAAAATGGCAGTGACATGGGGTAAGTTCATGTGCCTAGATGACAACACAAGTAGGAAATTAAGGTTTGATGTGGCTAGATTCCTTATATCCACGCAAATCATGAATCCTATATCTGTCACGCGAAGAATCAAAGTGAATGGAGTCATGTATGATCTGAAATTCACGGAAGAGGAGCTGGCAAATAGCTTGTTCTCAATGAGACACGATTTCAAGCCAAATTTCAGCACTGATTCAGAATATGAGGAATCATGGACAGATTGCAATGACTTGGAGCTCAACCTTGAAAGACATGATTGGGGTGCTGATCTGGAACAGCTCGCCGGCGATGAAGAAGAAGAAGGAGAAAACAGGGATTTCAGCCAAATTGATAAACGGTCGACTGCCATTCCGAGAAACGAGGTGGAATTTGAATTCGAAGAAGAAGGGAGTGATGTGAAAGGGCACAACCTGGTGGATAGCTCTCCCTATAGCCGACTGGGTGAAGAAGAATCAGTGGAAGTAGTAGCTGACAGTTTTGACATGTCCCCAGAAGCTAGTGAATTAGGAGGTAGAGTAGAGGCGGGTTTTTTTAAAATCAGTCCTCAAAAGGAGTTGTCTACAGAACCTATAGAGAGCTCAGCTGGCATTAACTTGGGCCTGCAGCATAAGCCCAACTCAGAGGCCACATGCCAAGCCCGTGGCAAGGAACAGAAAGAGGGAAGGCAAATATGGGCTGACTAGCTGAAGGATACAACCATAAGTATGGTAAATGAGTCCAGAATTGAGCTAGAACCTATACCGCAACGTAAACAACAGCAGCAGAGGCAAAAGAAAAAAGGGGGGTCGCTGGGAACCAACAAAGAGTTCTGGGCAGATCTGCAAAGTGAGGAAGAAAGTGAAAAAGGGTGGATGGCTACAAGTAACAAGGATCGGAAAAAAAGAAAAAAGAAGAGAGCAAAGTCGTGCAAAGCTGTGTATCAAAAAGCTAGTCTTCAACGAACTTTGATGCAGAGGGAGAAGAACAAAGTTGCAGTAAAAGGGAAGAAAGCACGGCGTGAAGATATACCAAAGTTTCAGCCGGGCTTGAACAAGGAAGTCGCAGGGGGTTCTGTGGGAGATAGTGGAATACAGAATCGAAATAGGTTGTTGAAGGAACACCCAAGTCGCAGAATTGCAGAGGAGCTGTGGGATTTTGCTAGAAAAATCGGGGTTGTAGCTGAAAACGAGGAACAAATCATCAACAAGCTTGACGAAATGGAGACGCGTGACAGAAGAGCAAAGGAAGCGGACTGCTCAAATGATCCGAAGAAGAATCAGAAGGTTAGTGAGCCAGAATTATGAATATATTGTCATTTAACATTAGAGGCTTGGGGGGTGCTGGTAAGAAGAGACTCTTAAGGGATATAGTGAGTAAAGAAAAAATAGATTTTTTGGTTTTACAAGAAACGAAGGTGACAGGGATAGATAGAAACACATGTAAATTGGTGTGGGGCACTGAAGACTTCGGTTGGGTTGCAAAGGATGCATGTGGTTTGTCTGGAGGCATACTCTGTGTATGGAATTCCAAAGCTCTCACAATGTCTAAAGTAATAGAGGGTGAGAACTTTATAGGAATAGAAGGGGTATGGGGTCCTGAGGGGGTTGTTGTCTACATTTTAAATGTGTACTCCCCGTGCCAGTTAGCAGGGAAGAGAGTTTTGTGGGCAGAGCTGAAAAATCTGGTTTTAGATAGACAGAGCAACTGGTGTATTACAGGGGATTTTAATGCAGTTAGGAATGAAGAGGAAAAAAAGGGAAGCAGAGGTGTTACTATAGAGATGAGAGAGTTTAACAACTTTATTCAAGAATCGGAGTTGGTTGATATTCCTCTTGTAGGTAGAAAATTCACCTGGTACCAGTCTAATGGAAACAGTATGAGCAGAATAGACAGATTTCTACTATCGGAAAGGTGGTTGACAAAGTGGAGCGAAGCCAGACAGTGGGGCCTTAGTAGAACAGTGTCGGATCATTGTCCAATCCTTCTCAAGCATAAGCATATTGACTGGGGGCCTAAGCCATTTAAGTTTTTCAATGCATGGTTTCAACAAGAAGGTTGTAAGGAGTTGATTAAAGAGGTGTGGGGGTCGGCAAACATCCAAGGATGGGCAGGGTTTCAACTTAAGGAAAAACTGAAATTGACAAAGGAAGCTTTGAAAAGGTGGAGCAAACCACTCCTCACAGATATTGATGCCAGAATAAACAAGGCTACAATAGAGATAGCACAAATTGATAAGAAGGGGGAAGAGGTACAGCTGTCGGAGGAAGAAATCACAAGAAGGAGAGAGGATTTCTTACTTCTATGGGAAAACATGAAGAGCAAGGAAAGTATGCTGCAGCAGAAATCTAGAAAAACATGGTTGACCCTCGGCGACGCCAACACAAGTTTCTTTCACAAGTGCATCAAGGGGAGATGGAGAAGGAATGAAATGACTTCTATTCAAATCAAAGGTACACAAATTGTGAGTGCTAGTAGAATGAAGGAGGAGATTGCTTCCTTTTTTGAAGACATCTTTAGAGAAGAACAGTGGGACAGACCAAAGTTAGAAGGGGTGAGCTTCAAGCAGATTTCACAGTTAGAAAATGATCATCTGGTTGGAGCTTTCAGTGAGGAAGAGATAGATGCAGCGGTGCGAGAGTGTGACAGTTCAAAGGCGCCTGGACCAGATGGATTCAATTTCGGCTTTGTCAAGAATGTGTGGGAGCTAATAAGGGAAGATGTAATCAGATTCTTGCATGACTTCCATAAAAATGGCAAGCTGGTTAAAGGACTTAACACATCTTTCATAGTCCTTGTGCCGAAAGTGGATAACCCACAGAAGATAGAGGAATATAGACCCATTTCCCTCATCGGCGTTATGTATAAAATTCTTGCAAAGCTTCTTGCTAATAGGTTAAAGGTGGTCCTTGATGGGATTGTCGGTGAACAACAGATGGCATTTATTAGAGGAAGGCAACTAATGGATGGAGTAGTGGTTGCAAATGAGGTGATTGATGATGTAAAGAAGAAGAGGAAGGAGACATTCTTGTT